TGGCCAGCAGGCTAGAGAGCAGGCGGCTGAGACCAGTGGGTCAATGGGTGGGCAGGTGGTGGCCTGGCTGGCAGGCGGGTAGCAGTAGCATGGGGTGGCCTGCCTGTTCTTTCAGTGTATCATGGCATGGAGAAGACTTCCATGGGCTAAGGGTTCAGGGTGCTTAAGTTTCAGCTCTCCCTGGTGCTTTACCTCAGCCAACCATGTCTCCAGTGTCTCAGCAAGGTCCCTGATTCACGGAGTTCACGCTGTCTGTGTCTGTGTCCCAGTTTCCATTTTGGATCCTCCTTAAGCCTTTTTTAAAAAAAATGAACCCATGCCTGCCCACATCCTGCCCTAAGAAAAATGAAAACTACAAGAACAATCTACTCAGCTGACCTTATCTCCCTCCCAATCTGCTGTCTTCCCTACACTCCCAAACATTTGTCCCCAAAAGCAAGGACAATTAGGCTTCTTGAATCTGTTTATTTCATAAGCTGAACTGTAACAGAGAAGACAATAAAGTATTCAGACTCACCCACTTCTTCCAACACACCCATATGCACAAGAGTATCAGAGGAGTGCAGCCCTTTATCAGCCCATGGGAAACAGTAACTGTCACTCATGCCACTACACTTGTAAACACGTTGGAACTCGCCAAGCTGCTTTCCCTGTCACACAAGAAAATCCAGACCGTTACTTTCAAATCTTAGCTTATCTTTCACCAAAAACATCAGCTAGTCTCGGTCTGATTCCAAGTGATACTTCTTTCTTCACAAGATAGGGTCTCACTATGGAGTCCAACGTGGGCTCAAAATCAAGGTCCTACTGCCTCAGCAACTCCCGAGTGCCGGGATTTCAGGCATTAGTCACCATGCCCAGCTTTCCAAGTGACTCTCAGAAGTTCTCAAAACTTAGAATTCACACAGGACAGAATTTCTCACCACTGAGAACACAAAGAAGAAAAAGGGCACTTCTTAGAGTAACTCCAAAGAAGCATTCAAATATGTTTCATGCCAGGCACCAGTGGCTCACACCTGTAATCCTAGCTACTCAGGAGGTAGCGATCAGGCAAATAGTTCATGAGACCCTATCTTGAAAAAAAAAACCCTTCACAAAAATAGGGCTGGTGGAGTGGCTCAAGGTGAAGGCCCTGAGTTCAAGCCCTAGTACCACAAAAAAAAAAAAAAAAAGTTTCATGTGGTGGTACATTGTTGGAGAAAGTGAAGGGAAACACTCATCTGATAAATAAACCTGATGTACCTGTTAAATTTATAGGCACAGTAATGAGCATCCATCTGCAATCTTCTAAAAAGAGATTCATGGAGAGGAAAGGTAATCAGAAAAATGGGGAAGGAATTAGTGACAGTGGTTGCACACTTCATGTATGTACAAAAAACTTGAGTTGCATATGGTATGCAACCTATATCTCAATAAAACTCTTTGGGTATGGGTTTTTTTTTGTTATTTGTTTGTTTTTTGAGACAGGATCTCACTATGTAACTCAGGCAGGCCTGAAACTCAACAATTCTCCTGTTTTAGGTTTCCAAATGCTGGGATTGCAGGCATGTGCCACCACTCCCAGCGTTTTTGCTCTTTTAAGAGAGGGGATCATAAATTAGAGTGAGCTGGAAGATGGGTTCATTGTAACATAGTGAGATGAAACAGAGTCTGAGGGCACCAGGAGTATTTGGGAGTATGTTTAAATAGGATTATGAAGGCAGATTTGAGACATGTTATCAAAGGACAGATTCGACCCTAAATAAATGAGAAAATCCGATGAGAAGTGACATTGACAGATGGAGAATGAGTGAGGGGGTCGTGTCACTCACAGGGCACAATGCCAGAGTCCTCTAACCAGGCAGCCCACTGTGGCCTCAGTAGTAGCCTGGACTGAATGCTAGGCCTGGCAGGGGTGAGTGAGTACAAGCTTCCTGCTTCAGCAAGGTGTACCTGGAATTTTCAGAAAATTATACTTCCTACCCGATTCATGGAAAGAAAAATTTTGAATGTTTCACTTGAAAGTTGCAATGAAATTGTAACTATTGCCAGATATACCCCCTCCCCCCTTTTTTTCATTTTCCTTTCTCTCACTTTTTCCCCCTTCTTCCAAGTTCTAACATTTCCTTCCTGGTCTACCTCTGCCTTGCCCCACATCTTCCAATCTCTGGAAAGTCCTGCTGCTTCCTGAATGCAACTCTTTCATAAATACTTCTTGAATGAATCCTTGGTGACAGAAACCATGACAGACTCCTGGATTCCCACCCTCCATGGGCTCAGTCTCCCCCTCTGTCTTCCCCACACCAGGCTCTTTCTTTTCCCTCTTCTCTCTCCACTGCTGCTGCTTCAAGTTCATGCCAGAGCCCAGTGACCATCTCGGCACAGCCGGTGAGAGCCACACAGCAGTGGGCACCAAAGCCTTAAGCCACAAGGCTTGGGTTCAGATCATCTGCTTCTTAGCTGTACAAATGTGGGACACAGTGGTTTTACCTACCTGACCCTATTTCCTCAACAAGAAAATAGGATAAAAGTCCCTACTTCCAAGATCATTGTGAAGGTGACTGAATTAATATATGTAAACTGCCTAGCAAATGCACAATACATTAAACTCTTTGCAAATGTTGGGTATTAGATGTGGATAGTTTGACAGTTTTCTCTATTCCATGTTTAGGCTTCAAGAAAAGGCTACCAAGAAACCTTTTGAAGTTAAGAATGATTTTAAGAATTTCCTACATAAAATGGTATGTTTCCTTCCTGAAAATAATTGAGAATTCTTGCTCTAGCTTTTTCTTACATGGACTTGACAGTATAGTTCATAAGCAATGTATGGTCATATCCAAGTTATAGCTATAGAACAGAACACATTTTTTTTCTTTTTTGGTAATAATGAGGTTTGAATTCAGGGCCTCATGCTTACTAGGCAGGTACTGTACCACTGAGTCACATCCCTTGCCCTTGTTGGTATTTTAATTTTTTTTATTTGCTTTTTCATTTTTTGGATAAGGGCTCATGTTTTTGCCCAAAGCTCACCTTGGACAGCAAGCCTCCTACCTATGCCTCCTGTGCTCTGGTGTAGCTGGGGTTACAGGCATGAACCACTGTGCCTGGTTTATATGTTAAGATAGGATCTAACTTTTTTCAGAAGCTGACTTCACACTGTGATCCTCCCAATGTCTGCCTCCCAGGTATTTGGAATTATAGGTGTGTATGACTCCATTGCACCTCCAGAACACATTCTTGTATGTAATCATCCACATGCACATTTATGATAATCTCTGTTTTTCATACTTAATGGTGACCTTATGCGCATTTCCCCCATTCCTTGCTTCTTACCAGGGACAATTTATGTAACTAAAACTCTCTAAGGGCAGGCTGATTTACAAATGAACGGAAAATTATTGGTGTTTGAAGTTGTATTTAGTTTCTCCCTAACAAGTCAGCAGAGTCGTATTGGATACAAATTGTGTTGTCAATGACCCTGTCCCCGATTCATGGTCTCACCAGATTCTGAGCAGAAATGAGTGAGAGAAGGAAAGGAAAGAAAGGAGACTGCTGGGTTTTTTTGGTTTTCCTTTCCTTGCTCCTCCATCTCCTTTTACCTTGTTCCCTTTACCTCTGGGCTCCCTCCTTCCCTTCCCCCTTACTCCCTCCATCCCCTTCAAGTCCCCTCTCCTCACCTTCCCCTCCCCTCCCTTCCCCAAGCAACAACAAGTGCTATTTTTTAAGTGAGCCAGGTATCTTTAAAGAATTATATACCAACCACAAATCCTTTGTGGAAAATGACAAAGTATTAAAAAACAAAGGATTATAAATTTAAATAAATTCAGGTCTTAGATTATTGGGTTTAAAGAGCCCAAAATTCTTTCAACAAATTTGACTTAAGCTTTCTCAGGTGTTTACTTTTCTGCTAAAAATGAAAATGCACAGAAGTTTATTTTAGAATAGAATTGTAGCTTTCCTAGTATGACCATTTTCCTTCAAGAAATATTACAACTACTTTTGCCAAGGCCTCTTGGAGACAGATTACAGTGATGAGGTCCTGTCACTGAGCTGCACATTAATGAACAAACACACCATAGAAAAAATAGAAAATTGTGAGAAGTTCCTGAATTATTTGAACTGCAAAACTGCTGTCTCAGTTACCTGAGTAGTTAAGCAAAACACCTTCTGGTGTAAACCATCTTATAACTCAGGAAGGGCTTCTTATGGTCTGGCCATGAAAAACGCTTTTCATTCACCAATACCTCATAGCCAGACATTTCTGCCCACTTCTGAAAACTGTGCATAGGTTCCCACCCTCACCACCAACCCTAGAGTCCACCTCAAGCTTTTGCATGCTCACTCTCGCCCACATATCTGCATACCTGCCCTACACTGGTGCATGTATACAAACACACAAAACAGGATGTGAGGCAAGGGTGGGGGTTTTCCAGAACAGTGAGCATGCCTTCTGGACTTGAGGGGCATTTGAGAAAAGGTAGGGTAGAGTAGGAAGAAAGTAAATTTTATGAACAAATCAAGTTACCAGAATTATGGTCTTGATAATTGTCTATTTCACTGTGAATAGAGAAAGAGTCTTAAAGGTCTGTCATCTAAGTGTCTCTGTGAAGTGGGGGAAAGTGTTGAGGACCAAAAGAGAAAGATGATTGCTTATACTATATCACATGGGTTTTAACATTTTTTTTAACAAGACTTAGATTTTCTTCCTAAATCTATCTTTTGCCAAAAAAAAAAAAAAAGAGTAATCTTTAGCATCTTCATAATTGGGGGACTCTCAGCTCCAAGTATTCAATATCTAAGAAAACCTGTGAATTCTTATTCATCTTTCACAGCATGTCGAGGCTAAACTTGAGAAAGAACTTATGGCATCACGGTCATCGTCGTCATCCACGACAACAGATGACTTCTACAGCTTCAAGGAAGAATAATATTGAGGAAACCAGAAATGAACCCTACTCAAGAATAATGCACACAACTCTACTGTGTCATCTGATTATTAGTAAACTTTAATTCAGGTCCAATTCATGTAGTGAAAGTGGGTTCTACCATTGATCTTTACAATCTTCAAACCAATAGATGTTAGTAAATCACCCTGAAAAGATCTACCCAAGCACCATCTCAGCTCTTATTGCTTAGAGAAAATAAAAGAAAAAAACCCGTATTTTCAGATAGAAAAATAATCATTGTACAGCACTGAAAGCTTCAACCATTTCTTTGGAAATCCATCTTGATAATAGCAGCCATTCATTATAATAGAAAACAGAAAGGGGACTAATTTACTGTGGCACAAGTCCTGCCAGTTCTCAAATGCCCTAAATAGTTTCTCTGAGATTTTTTGCATTGTTTAGGCCTCAAGGAAAACCAAAGCCCCGCCTCCAGGTTTGGTAGCAAACAAACTCTCCTTCTCTGGTGCTAGGTTGCGACCACTCCTCTGGTAATAAGCTTCGCTCACACTTGCCAGGAAGCTGGACAGCTTGTCAGCAGGTACTATGGACACTGTGCAGCCTCCCCATCCTGCTCCAGTGAGGCGTGAACCTTCAGCCCCAAACTTCCTGAAACAATGAGAGAAAAGAGCATTAGCACCTAGAAATGAAAGAAAACAAGAGTGATATGCTTGGTGCTATGTGGCACACAGCATCCCCAGGTTCTAAGAAGGGCACATGGGTGGGGGGAGGTTCAGGGTGCTGCCAAACATTTCAGGACATTAAGAAGTCTATACTGGTTCAGAATATGATTTGTATTTTTTTGGCAGTACAAGGGTTTGAACTAGGGGCCTTGGCTTGCTAGGCAAGTGCTCTACCACTGCCATTCCCAAGCTGGAATTTTTAAATTGTATCTAAAGCTAGGGCCTGGTTTTGACTGGAAGTATAACTGTTGGCAGTACTTCCATTTCATGAAATCTGGCAATAACCCAGTGCAGTCTTCATTCCACATAGCAGCCACTGGAAGATGTGTATAACTAGCCTACAGGTAAATCAGGGAGGGTGAGGAAGAAGACAGGCAGGTGATGGGCGTGGTTAACATTAAGAACCAGCTCACTTCAGGGGAGTGCAAATCAAAACTCAATGCACACATCTTAAGTGGGGGCTTCCTTCCTCCAGTAGCTATTTCAGCTGCTTTCTTAAGACTTAGCTATTTCACGTAAAAGAATCAGACTCCTGGGGCTGGGAGTGTAGCCTGGTGGTAGAACTCTTGTCTAGCATGCATGAGGCTCCGGGTTCATCATCAGTACTGCAAAAAAAAATGAGGTTCCTAGAACTGATAGCCTAGGTTTGTTCTAAATAAATTTATTAACACAGAATTTATGATTAAACTCCAGGTTGACTGGTTTGTTTAATCACTGACTGAAAATTCTGCAAACCTTTCTGCAAAGAGGATGGTATCCCCATAGGCACATGCCATCTTCCCTGCATACTCTGGAGCTGGCGTGACAACTGCATTCGGAATTTGCTGTCAGGTGAGGGCCTCTGGTTGAAATGGAAACAACTGTACAAACTACCATGCAGCAAGAGATCATTTTAGTCACCGCCAACCAGGCACAGTTTCAAACCCAAGATCTGACCCAAGTGAAAGGCCTTACACAAGCACAAGGATCACTCATCTTTAAAAGATGCAATTTACTCTGACAACAAAAGTTAACATATCCTTCTAATTATTTCTTCCTAATAAAATTTACTCCAAATTAGTAGCAGATTAAAAACACCATAATTAGTTTAGCACAATTTATGCCTTTTTTTTCCATAAAAATGAGCTATTTTACTTCCTGGAAAATATCAATAGTTTATTACCTCTATTCTAGGACACTGAGAATCACACCAGTAATTCATTTTCCCCTTAGTGATTTTCTCCACTGACTTCTTTTCATCATCTGTTTTACTCATTAAAATATGTTTTTCAGACAAAAATAGATGTTTATGGAAGTAAAAAAGAGGCTTACAAACAATGAAAGATTGCCAATCTCCTCTTGCCCCTCAAGCACTTAGCTCTGGCCCGGTAGCTGAACTAAGCCCAAACTCCTATCTATCATCCAGGCTGAGAAGTTTCTCTGACCTGGAGTTCTGGAATTATTCTGAGTTGCTAGGCTGGCAAGGGGCCTGTTTGTAGTTTGTTGATTGCTGAAAAAAAAAAGCTGTCATGCAAGTACATCAAGAAACATCTCTTACTGTGAAGATACTGGGAGAAACTGAGTTATCCCTGAAGCATCTCAGAAAGGCCCTAAAGTCTGGGCATCAAAGCCAACCACAGCATGGTCTAGTGAAGGCCAAATGTGTCTGCTTGGTTTTCTATGACCCAGATAGTACCATTTTACTGAACCCAATTCACCAACTCTTCAATGGTCTTCAATGGACTTCTAGGCACATTTTCTTACACTTTTTCATCTGAACAGTTTTGAAAGGTATGGTTTCAAAATTGACTCAAAAACAAAATTGAGAGCATTGCTTCTAATCTGGCATAAACATCATGAGGATTGTGCCAGAATGCCTTTTTTCCTCCACTACATCTACCCATTTCCACAGATCAGAAGCTGAGTCTTTCTAGGTAAATGTGTGCTCTTCTGAGCCTCCAGAACTGCTCTGTCACCACCTGGCCAGCTGTAGAAGAAAATGGACTTGATTGTGTCAGCCATAAGGTCCAAAATCCTCAGCGCTCAAATTTCCCAAATAAAGGACAAGTATAATTATGAATGGCCTCTGCCCCTGAGTCAGTGGCACTGGGGATCACAATCCAGGAACTTCCCTGTCGTGGTCAGAAGCCTGTCCTGCTGCACACATGCACACATACACGCACTCCATGGCACAAAGGCCCTGCCTGCAGTGTTTCCAACCAGTGCTTAATGTGCCCTTTGGCCTACAGCACTGAAATTCCAAGAGAGCCCCAAGTTAGGAGATCAATACAGGCTTTAAATTAAGGGAGAAAAGAGGGTGAGCCAAGGTTGTTAAGTAAACTTTTCACATTTGAAGTTTTTCCCTGGGAGAACAGTAAAACAAACAAACAAAAAAATCTCTCCTGCACTATTGTACATCAGCGAGGCAACACAAGCATTTCAAAACAACCACCCTAAAGTTCCCCAGTCACCTCTTTTGTGACTGTGCTGACTGGACGATTTGTCAAGGCACAAAACTAAGGCTAGGGTAGATGAGAGATGGAGAGGATAGGAATGTTCCTTTTGCTCATTTATCACCTGAAAGTGTATTCATGTCCTAAACTGTCCAGACACCAAATATAGCCTATCTAAAATGCCCTACTTTTAAATGAACCGATTTGACCATAAAGCTCTTAGCAATGCAAGGGTGAGAAGGAAACCCAGAGAGCCCCAATTGTGCTACAAACTAGAAAGAAGGAAATAAGGAATGATGCCTTGTATTTCAGTTTGATTTCACTGAGTTCAATAGAAGGAAAAAATAGGGCTGAGGGTGTGGATCAGGTGGTAGAGCTCTTGTCTAAACAAGGACAAGGCCCTGAGTTCAGACCTCAGTACTTCCCCCCAAAAAGAACAAGATAAGTGAAATTGTATAATAGAAAATATCTATTATACAAGTAGATATTAAATTAATTCCAGTAGAAGTCCAGGTATTTGGTGGATTCTACTAGATGACTGCAGGAGGATTAGATCTGTTTTAATATATAAAATATAGATCATATATTACATATAAATATGAGCAGTCAGTAGTATATTCTTCAACTGGAAAGACTTCTAGCTTCTACTTTCTGGAAACTGGCAAGATGTCTTAGAAGAACAGACCTTCTAGAACTATTCCTATGATTTTCACACTCAGGTTAGAAACAACGTTCTCAAATTGTTTTGGGTTCAAGAAACCATAGCCTTCAAATATAGTTGAAGTAAGAAAGAATAAGAAAATGTGCCTACAAGTCCATTTTAGAAATGTAAGCACTGGCAGCCATTGACAAGAAGTTGCTTGGTCTGAGCAGATGGTATATGCAAGTTTATCAATAAGTGGAGAACAGAGGCACAAAGAGAAGCGAGCCTGGTGGGCAGGTAAAGTGGCTCTCTCCCTCTGTCTGGCAGGGCACACAGCTGTGTATTTGCACATAATTCTTATCCCAGACAAAGTCAGGAGAATGGGCACAAGAGGCTGAGCAGCCCAGCATGAAATACAACTAAGGAAAGGCTTCTGAGAAGAAAAGGCAAAGTAACTTTTGTACCACTGTTGGCTCATTAAAATTTGTCATTCATCTTCCTTAATGGTTTGGGCAATCATAACAGTAATACAGCAATGAATCTTCTCTAATTTCAACAAGTGTCAAAGAAGAAATAAAGGCATTAACTATTTTTTTCCGAAAGTAATGTCAGGGAACCAATAATAAATGAGCTGTCTCACACATAAGTGACTTGGTTTCAAAACTGTTCTGTGCTCCTTGAGAAATTCTACTTTAAAATTTAGTCATTTCTTTAAATTCACATTTTGTTCATTAAAAAAAGATACTTTTTTTAATTGGGCAAACATCATCTTTCTCCTTCATTATTCTACCTCACATAACTGAAATTCTAACATTAACGCAATAAAAGATTAAAAACAGCCCTCTTCTGGCCCTTTCTTTAGATTCTAAACCGATTTTCTCTTGAAGAGATGTAAATGGCTCAACAGGAAACAATAGAAAGCACTGGTGATTTGCTCTTTTCTTCTCTCCTCTCCACTTGGGTCATAAAGTTGTTCTGTGCATTGTCCTACAGCTAACTAGCCAGGGAGCCTTCCATGTATGGTCTAGCTCAGCTCTTCCCTTGCATGCAGTGCCTTGGGTATGTCAGGCATCCATGTCCTTCCTTCCTTCCTTCACTCATTCAGTTAGCTATGCCAATAGTTTGAAAAGCCTTCTGAAACACAAAAGAAATTTTAAAGTGCCACAGGTGGATCAGGGAGACAATCCAAAGACCACCTTTGACAGCGATCCTCCCTGAACCCATTCTGGCTGCTGTCCTCCCTCATCTTGTCTCCAAAGACAACCAACCTGCTCATGCTGCCAGTCTCAGTCACACCTTCCCCTCCTGATACTAATATATTTCAAGATGGCTGGGAACTTTTGAGGCAGTGTGGTTCTTAAACCAAGCCAGGATCTACAGGAGGGGCTCACAGCAGGCCTTGCACGGGCCCTTCCCAGCACATCCAGCATTGCCCCTGCCTGACTCAGTGACACTTACAAAGCTCCAGAAGGAATCAGGGCTCAAGGGCATCTCTATTGCTCTTCTGAACCTTTCCTTTACTTTATTCCTACCTTCTTTTGCAGTCTTCTGAACCCCTCCATTTTGCCTTATCTCTTCTCAAACATCCACATAGGGCCACAACTTTTGAAGGCTCATAAGGTACACAAATAGCCATGTGGAAATCATGGTTTGACACAGGAAGCAATGTCACCAATAGCTGATCCCCTTAGTCCCCCTTAGGCTATCCTCCTTGAGCCTACTGTGCCACAAGGACCTTCAGTACTACCAACTAGATGGAATATGTGTAGGGTATTGTCTGATGGTCACACAGCAGCCAAGGAATTGTTAACCAAAAAAGAGACCAAAGAACCAACTAGTCCAGCCTGTATTTTCAATATGCCAGAAGATAACCCTTTAATATGGGAAACTCAGACCTATGGTTATGAAAGAAGTAGAAATTCATTTTGATACTTAACAATTGGCTATCTAAACTAAAACAACCATGATAAAAAGGGATGAAGCTCCTTATACTAGACACAACTGATTTTTTGCCAGAAAATTAATGCAGCAGGTGACAAGCCTAGTCACAAATATTTAGCTACCATTAAGAAAGGAATTTTCCATTCTATGCTCCTCTGCCTAGCTGCCTGCCATTTTCTCCCCCTTTTAATGATGTTCTAATAAATCTTTGCTTTCTCCTAATTAAAAAAAGAAAGTTTTCCCAAACAAAATTAAAAAATAAATAAGAGGTGCTCTTCCAAACCCACTTAAGACATAGCCACAAAATCATTCACTAGAACCACATTATTTAAAATGTGTAGACCTTTACAGCAGAGGACACTGGAGATTATAAGGGAAGACAATAAATAGCAGAGCTAGAACTCAACCTTCCCACCTTCCAGCCCCACTGCTTTGCATGACTTTGCTCCACATTCAAATGTTGGAAACCACGACAACTGAGGCTTCGCTTTGAAGGAGAAAAATACATTTAAGGATGGCCCACAGTCGAATGCAATCATATCTCAGAATAACTATGGGGGGAGGGGCAGGTGCAGCAAAGCACGGGATTGGGAGCCAGATTTTCCCACCAGCTCATGGTGTGAACTTCTGCAAATCACCTCTTGGTGCCGTCTCAGATCTATCTCTTCTGTTTGCTGCTTTAAAATCTTACAGTACTGTGAATTTGTGAAAAATGGCTGCCAAAAATGTGCCTTTTAGAGAAACAAGGAAAAATTCTCAGGCCAAAAACCTAGGAGTCATCTTGATTCCTCTTTCTTCCACAATGCAATTGTGTCTTCTGGCCAGACATATTTGACATCACTTAGCCTCTCCATTGCCCCCTTTCTGCTCTTAGAGCCCAAGTCTTTCCCACAATCCACAGGCCCCTGTGTATGGCTCCCAGTGACCTCTCTCACCTCATCACCTGCTGCTCTCTCCTTCCTTCACTGCCCCCACCATCCTCTTCTTTCTGAGTCTCACACACTATGGCCACATACACCCCTCAGGGCCTGCTCACTTTCTGTTCTCATTCATTCACTTCTTTTGGGTCTCTGCTCAGATACCACTTCCTCAGAGAGACTTTCTTCAACCATTTCCTATGAAGAATACCCATTCAACCCTGGCAGTCTCTTATCTCTTCTCATTTTTGTTCATTGCATTTATCACTGCCACTCAATTTTTTCTTTAAATTCTCATTTCTCTTTCTTCCTACAAGAATGGAAGTAAGTACTGGTTGATCAGTTGAAACTCCATTAGAGAATTTCAGGAGGCTGGCAAATGCTGTTGCACAGCTTTTCGGGTAGGATTCAAACCACCCCATTCCCTTCCAGGCAAAGAGGCCTCTTCTTCATTTCTGCACAAATCATCCCACTTTCTCCTAGTTACAGAACTGAACAATACTGGTCTGTTCCCCTCACTGTGCCCTTGATATTTTCAGAAAAGAGGACTCATAATGAAATAGGCTGTGGAAGGCTTTTTGGCAATTACTGAGCAAATGCTAACGTCAGCAGAGTGACTCTCAGCAATGCTAAGTTCAAGTCTCTGGACAAGATGGGTTTCTCAGGCCATTTGTGATCATAGGAGCTACTTGACTTCAACTTTTCAGGCTTGGAGTATGGTGGAAGTAGGGCAAGCCACAAGCGCCAAGTGGTTAATTGTATTTCCAGTACTAATTGTATGCAGCCCTGAATTATCTTCTCATGGTGAAATTACATCTAGCCATTTGAGAGTTCTCCCCATTTCCCTTTCAGTTTTCCCAAGGACAGTGAGCTCCCTCCTAGTCAGGGCCCACTCCCCTGTCCCCATTCTTTCACAATTATAAGAACGTTGTTTTCAGGTTTTGTGAAAGTTTCTCTCCTTACACTTCTGTCTCAACCATTTATAAACTGAGATTTCTTCACTCCTCATTTCCTGCAAATTGCCTAAATGAACCTGGAAGGCAGGAAATGCTGGCCATCAGCCACCCTCCCTTCACACACTTGACCTGTCAAGCTCAAGGCCCCCTTTTGGCTGTCTCCTTTCTGAATACAACTATTAGTCAAGACACCTGACAGGCGTTTCTAACACAGCTGCAGTGAAATACTTAAACGATCATGAGGAAGCAACAGTAGGGCCCCTGTCTGAGAAGAGCTGCCTTCCTAAAAGGCTTAATCATCCAAAGATGGAAAAATCCCTCTTAGAAGGCCCACTCCAAACTGACTCCAAACTCGGAGCCTTGTGAAACGACAGAACAAGGTTGGTTCTACACCATGGGAACCCCATCCAGGAAGTGAGGAAGGATCTTTATTCACACAAATTATGAAACTGTTGCCCTTTTATCATTAATTTAAGCAACATTCTTTCGTGGCATCCCTTGGTTCCCTCCCCACCCCCACACAGCTCTCAGCCTCACCGACAGATGTCCACCAGCTGGTCCAGCTCCGGGCAGCTGCACTCGTACATGTCCCGGCAGCTCCTGTGGCTCTGGTTCATTAGCTCCCCCAGCAGCTGGACTGTGTTGTCAGGTGCTTCTTCGCATATTTTCTTAAATTGGAACACTCGGGCAGCCTCGCTGTACACATGCTTTGCCCGCTGGTAGAGTTTGAAGATGAGCACTGAGGAAGGAAGGGCATGGGGGAAAAGATTAGAGTTACAGACTATCCAGTACAAAGAAACACACGGTATTTGTTTGCTTGCTTGTTTGTTTGTTTTGACACAGGGCCTCACTACGTAGCCCAGGCTGGTCTCAAACTTACAATCCTCCTGCCTCTGCCCCCTGAGTATGTACCACCACCCCAGCCATGATTCAATTTTGAGTGCTTCCATTTCCACCTTCCTTTTCAATACCTTAGATTTTCAATGAGTCTATTTCACTGAAAGAGTGTTTCATAGTTGAAATTTATCTATTTGGAATTCTGTTTTACTCCATTCTTGATACCGAGTGGAATCATTTCTTCATTCAGCACACCTGGACAAGCACATGCACTTAGTCTAAACCATCCCACAGGAAGGGAGAGGCAGCATGCACTGAGAACTTCCTACATGTCAAATGCTTTTAGAGTGTTCTCAACAGCACCGGGACACGAGCAGGATCATCTTGCTTCACAGACAAGAGGAGGAGGCTCAGCAGAGTTAGGGGACATATCCGACACTCAAGTTGCATTCTTTCCACTATGCCCCATCAGAAAGGACCACCGAAAGTGTTCATGCTGGCAATCATGTTTATAAAAGCATATCCTAGAGAAACAACTAATCACAACTACTTATATAATAACATTTATTCATATTTTTAGATATGTACCTCTGTATACTGTAGCATTATCTATCATAGCAAAAAATAAGAATCCAAATGTCTAATCACAAGAGCTTTTAAAAAAAATTACTCATTTAAAGATATGACTGCTATAAAACTCAGATTCTAAGACAAAGTGCTGCATGGGAAATTGTTCATTATTAACAACATATATATATGCATGACTGATGCTGATTTTGCATATACAAATATACATATTCACGTACATTTCAAATTTTAAGAAGTGAATGTTAGCAGTAGTTGTCTTATGGCCCATCATGGGTGGTTTTATTTCCTCTTGACACACTTTGCCTACAATGGCTCTGTAATTCCAGTTACAGAGACTTGTCCTACTGTAGTGGCTGGGTCTATAAGCCTAGCATGTTCCTTTGAGGAACAACAGAGACCTTGCCAATTTCACACATGCTGTACAGTGGCTGAACTGGTGTGGTAGGTCTGGGAAAATTCTGGAAATTTTAAGGAAGTTCCCTGGCCTGGTAGAAAGAGCCAAGGCTGAGAATCAGAAGGTCTGTCATTTCTCATGAACTCTGACAGCCAGCTGTACCCAAGTTGCTACTTCTACAGAGCTCTGTTCCTCATCTTTAGAATGAGGTTGAGAATTACATCTCGGGATCCATCCAGCTCTCACATTTATATTCTATGAAGAGCTTCCTCCAAGCATATACCTTTAACATGCCCCCATATTGTCACCCTCTATAAAGAGAATGCTGTGACTATCACTACTGTCTGCGCTCCTACTTCAACTCTCTACCCCATTCCCCCTGCTCTCTGTCTCCATAGGCTGACCTTAGGAATTACACCATGGGTTTCTTGCTGTCTTATCAGAGGATGAGAGAAAACCACCAAGAGAAGGTAGGTGAGAGAGTAAACCCAGAGGATTTATTCCATAGCCCCCTCCTTGCAGAGCCACCAGGAACGGACTCTGTCCCTCAGCTAAAGGGCACTAAACTTCTTTTAGGGTAACTTTTCTACAGGACTCTTTTCTCCTGGGGCTGCCTCCAGGTCCCTCTCCCTTAAACTATAATTGCTTTCTCAGAAGTACCTTTACATTTTTACTTAACACAACAACAAATCCTATTAAAGATTCAGGTTACATTTTCTTCCTCTGCAGTACTGTCCTTCTAACTCTTAGACATGGATAAAAGGTAGTCAAGGATAGAGCAAGTGCATAGCCATTGTTATGAACTGCATATTTGTGTCTCCCCAAAATTCCTGTGTTGAAACCCTAACCTCCAATAGGATGGTATTAAGAGGTGGGGCCTATGGGGAAGATTCAATTCAGATAAGGTAATAAGAGTGGAGTCCTACTATGAGATTTAGTGTCCTTATAAGAAGAGAAACTAGAACTACAAAGAGTAGGATAGAGACTTTACCAGACACCAAATCTGCTGGCAGCCTAATCTTGGACTTCCTAGCCTCCAGAACTGTGAGAGATAAATTTCTGTTGTTTAAACCACCTGCTATATAGTATTTTTATTATAGCTAATTAACCAAACAAATTAACTAACACACCATTCTTAGCATTCTTATGATTTATGTAAAAGCCTAGTGATTATAAGTGTGGGGCTAAATTTCCTATAAAATAATAATGAATAATTAAAACTTATCTTCTAAAGGTGTCCAGTGAGTCATATGAGACCTTAAATTTAGCTACTTGCATCAATGAGATGATGCAAATTCATGTGAGTTTTCCTATTCTCTTTCAAAGAGGACTTATATTTAGTCATCAAATCTACTCAGTCCTTTCCCAGTGCATCTTGTAATTATCCCTTCGTCCTATTCCCACTGCAATATCCAAATTTACACTTCCATTCTCTTTTCTACTGGACTATTTTGCCATGATCTGCTAATTGATATCCCTGCCATGATTACTCCTCCCTGCCTTTTGTCAACACTGACAGACTCAGCTTTGAAAACACAGCCTTACTCATGTTACTTACACCCAAAACCTTGGCCATTTCCCCAGTGTTTACCATAGTCCAAAATCCATCCTTCACCATGTTCAGTTCTAATAGGATCTCTTCCCTTCAGTCAAGCCAACCTATCTGTATTTATCCTAACACTCCTTGCTTCTGGATATACTCAGTAGTTTCTCATGGAAATAGCTTCTTGCCCTTTCCGTGTCAAAATTTTGCTCTTTCTGAAGGTTCTGATTACATTTTATGTCATCCATGAAGCCATGAGGACCTCAGCTGGAAACAATCTCTTGACTCTGAACTTGTACCATGCTTGTAGTCCTTGGCTTATCATTGGTACTTATTGTACATTTTCCATAGTAATTGTTTTCCATATCTCTGCAAAGAGCTTGCAAGCTGCTGGAGAAAGACATCAGGTCTGCTAGTTCCATGTACCTCCCCCCCAAAAAAAAAACAATTCTCGCCTCACATCCGACACTGCCTTACATTCAGGAAATCAATGGGTGTTTACCATTGGTGATGATAACAATAAGCACTTTGTTTTTAACCCCAATCCAAAATCACAATACCTCCATCCAGGCAGTGTTGTTTAAAAAAAAAGAAACAAATGAGGTTCCACTCTTTAAAGCTTAACCAAGTGTTGAGGCTGAGGAAAAAGGACAATAAGGATTCCTTTTGTAATTAAATCTACAACTCCTGGCACCAACTATGGGTGAAAAATAAGTCGGGGAGGGGGAGGGTAACAAGTTAAATATAGAAATATAGGTGGGGAAAAACATGAACAACATGTTTTGTTCCACTGCAGCCAGACCACACTTCAATGTGAATGTGCTGTTTCCATCAATCACTTCCACTGAAATGGGGCTATGATTTATTTTAGCGTCTGGGTGTCAAAACATCCCAAGGGAAAAGTCTTACCAACACCCAAAATGCACTGTATGAAGAAATAGCACAGGAGTTTGTGGTAACAACTCCTCACAATCTCCCAACAAGAAAGAAAAAAGAGATGACTGACTGACGTGCAAGTGCCTGAGACGGTGCCAGTCACTTCATACCCGTTAACATAATCCAGGTGGTAGAAGAGACATTTTGAAAGGAAAGAAACTGACTCTAGTAACTGTAGTTTAAGATTATTCTTTTTTAAAACTTGAGGTTGAAACAAAATATTTATAATACCAGCTTTAGGATTCCATATGTTTCAGTTTTACTTTCTAACTCCTTTACCTCCCACACCATCTCAGACCAAGTTACAGAATCGGAGCACTGGAGGGAGAGGTGAGTACTGTTTCCTTTTGACTATAACGTCCCCTGGATAAAGAAATCACCTAGTTTGCAGGTCCACTACATTTATAGCTACAGCCCAAAAGGCACAATAAAGCAACATTCTCTATGACCATAAAACAGTGCTTTTGGGTCAGCAAATCACTGCACAAGTTCCAATGTGCAAAGACTTCTTTTACTTTGAATAATAAAAGACATGACAGTGGAGAAAATACCGTAGTCAGGTCCATATGTCCATCACCTATGTGAACAATTTTTAATTACTATTTTCAAATAAGTTATAGGTGACTTATATATTTCCCCCTTACATCTGTTAAGTGTGACCCTCTGTAAAATAAGACACTCTCTTAAACATTGCATTGCTGTCACACCTCACACAACTCCCACTGATTCCCGAATGCTGTCTCAGAGCAGTCATATTTAAATTTTCCCAGCTGTTCCAAATTTAAATTTCAGTTGGCTTACACTAAACTCCAGAGTCCCCACATTATATTCAGATGTTATATCTAATAAGTCTCTTTTAATCAAGAATTTACAGTGACTTTTTAATATTCTGGAGTCTCATGTCATATGCATGCACATTTCAGGGCCATATCCCATAATAAAAGTCAATATAGTTGTGTTAGGGATATTATGCTTTGATTTTCCTTTAGGATTACATATTCCTTTCAGATTAAATATTTGCCTTTAGGATTAAATGTTCTGTGTTAGAAACTGTGCCGGGTATTGAGGGGTGGGGAGGAGAGGGAGGGGTGGAGTGGGTGGTGAGGGGGGGGGGGGGCAGAGGGGAGAAATGACCCAAGCCTTGTATGCACATATGAATAATAAAACAATAAAATAAAAAAAAAGAAACTGTGCAGAGATATGTTTTCTCTTAAACCTTAGTGCTTCGCTTGGGACAAGAAGCACTCAGAATGTGCTGAGAGAGAGTACTGGAGCCTCACAATCCTGGCAGCAACTTGTGTCCATTTTCTCCCCACAGAGGAAGAGGTGTGGCAAGCCTTCGGAGTGGGGATGTCTAATGAAGGCTCTTGCTGGCACTCCACGGTGCATGAGCGATGACTGCGGCTCGCACCCCTGAACGGTAGTAACGCAAACAAGAGAAAGGGCAGAGAGGGCATCTGTTTTCAATTGCAATCTAAAGATCTTGCCAGAGGCTACACAACTTGGAGACCACCCTTTGGGAGGGAAAGCAGCTCTGTGTTGGCTGGAAATTGCAAATGCTCTGTGCATTTGGGGCTTTGGCTCATTCCATGCCGGCAACTCATCAGGCCTCTTGTACAGACACCAACAATCCAGGAAAACCTGAAACTGTGTCCACATCAGCTTTCTTCCCTGTCCAGTTAACTTTATAAGCAGATGTTCCATCTGTCTATAAGCTCTTGTAATCCTGGAGAGCAATTATTACATTAAGGGATGAGGGAGCTCCTTCTTACTGTGTTTCTGCATGCAGTGTGCATGATTACTTCCAAGGCAAACTCAGCTTAAGAATACAACACTGATGCTGTTTTCCTGTAATAGAACCAGTGGGCTGTCTTATTCACAGGAAGTCTGAGGCTCTAAAGCAGGGCATACCACCTAGATTTTGGAACAGTATTTTTGTTTTGAATCTTGCATAATTACTGAATTGAATCCTACAATCATGGCACTGATTCTAAAATCTACATGTCTGTGGTCATCCACATTTGAACTGCAAAATAAATATTTCATTTTGTTGTTGAATAACTTTGACATAATAAATTCTATTTGCTAGCTCTAAACTTTTCTTTCTTTCTGACTCCATCCCCCATCGCCTACCCTTTCCCTAGCCACACTGGCCTTGCAGTGCACCCCACAAGGGCTCCTGCCATAGGTCCAGCACAGTAGCTGATTTATTGACCTGACATGCTCTTTCTCCTTCAACTCTCAGATGTCATGGCTTCAAGGAGACCTTCCCTCCACTCCAATTGGGAGCATTCCTCCCCACAGACACACGTTTTCTCCATTCTATTTTATTTCCCCAACACTTAACACCATCCAATATTTTCTTGTGTGCCCATTTGTGTATGGTTTATACAACTTCATACAAAAAGAAGATCAGCTCCAGGACAGCAGAGGCCTTTTCTGATTTCATTACCATTGTATCTCTAGCAGCTACAATAGGACCTGGGCAAACCTCCTTCCCTCTGGGAAATGCCATAATGAGTCACTATAACTCTTACAAGCAAATGTGCCCCCCTCCATGGGAACATTGCTAGCTCTGTATTGCATTATACTCTGTCTTCATGGAGTTTCTACTCTTTGGTCTTAATTGTGTTCCCCAGACATACAGAAACACAAGGTAGCCTTCAGATATCTGAAGCCAGCTCTCATGTCTTACATACACACTGTTGAGGATCCACTGTGTGCCAGCTCTAAAATAAGGAACCAACAATAACAAAGAAGATATATTCTTCACTCTCAGCAAGTAATATGACTACTGGAGATAAATCATCAGAAAAGACCAAGGGCAATACACACTAAGGTAGCTCCTTACACCTGAAGTGGAGGCTCAAAGCTATGAGGGCATCCTGATCTATGTTAACCTAAAAGCAGAGCCTGGGACAAAAAAGCTGGGTGCAGGTGGCAGGACTCCAGGAAGCAGGGTGAAAAGAAGAAAAGTCAATAAAGGGGTTTGATGAGCAGGCTCCTAACATGGACAATCTAGGCCCAGTTACTCAGAGGTCTGTCTTAACCATGTAGAATGTACCTTAAAATTGTCCCACAAAGGATGGAAAAATAGGCACTAGCCTATTTTTTGAGTGTTGACCAGTTTTTGAGTGTTGCCTCCAGGAGGGGTTAACTTCTCCACAAAGATGTGCCTGGATGGACAGCTGCCTCTAGTGACTTTGGGAAATGCCGCAACTCCACAAAGAGGCACTCAGACCATCTACTTAGCTGGCATGGGCTACTAAAAAGTGTTGAACTCAGGCAGCAAGAGAATGCAGCACAGTGACCATAACCTTCATGGGGGCAGTAAAAACAGTGCAGTGTAAAAATCTGAGTAGCTCTTCAGCAAACCAAAGGACTAAGAAAAGGATTGAGAACCTAAGGCAGAAAAAACGTCACAGGCAAAAACATGGAGATTTAAAAAACATGATGTTTTAGAGAACACACATGACTTTGATTTGACTGATGTGTGTGAAATGAGATGAAGAAACAGAAGGAACAATGAAAGAGAAAACTGAAGTGGGAGGCAGCGGTAAGCTGCCTTGCTAAGGCATTTAAATTGCATGCTTTCTGCAAGTGGTTCTTGGCCTTAAAGCAATGACCCCTCTCCTCCATGTGAGTACACAAATACTCAAAATGTTTCATGAAGACCAACATACACACAAACTCCATAAATCTATGGTTGGATCCAGATGAAGATTTCAGCTTAAGAAAGCATCACAGGTTGTAGCAATTATATCAGTCAAGATTCTTGTCTGTAAGCAAGAAAGCTACACCAACTAACTAAAAAAGGAACTTATTTGGAAGACGTTAGGGATTTCACAAAATCTATTAGGATTTATTGCATATTCCCTATTAGAGTGTGAGAAAACCAGGGGGGAGGTGGTCAGAAATCAAGGAAAGCAATAGTGAGGAAAGCTGCCAACATTCCACAAGAGCAGTCTGGATATGACATTGGACTCCAGATAATTTATTAGCTGACTTGTGCCTTCCAGACTCAAAAACTCACACATAACCTTGACCTAGGATGGCAGAGGAGCCTGGAACCCTTGCTCACATCCAAAGAGGCAAATCTGACCCCTCAGCTTCCACCACCAGAGGCAAGACCCTCCCTCTTGCCAACATACACAGCAAAGATTTCTCAGAGCTGAGAAAAGGCTCAGAGGCCCAGCCAGGAGCACCTGCCCTCTGTCTCCTGCAGCAGTGAAATGCTTTGACTAGCTTTTGAATCCCGTCTCCAAGACCCACCACCCAGTTTCCCTTGTAGGACTGGATTTCAAGAATTCCACCCGCTTTTCTTGTGAATACACCTTGGTCTGTGTTTGCCATTTTATTTTTTTACTTCATTTCATTTCATTTCCAGTGCTGGGGATTGAACATGCTAGGAAGTAGTCTACCACTGAGCAAAACCTCAGCCCTATGTGTGCCCCCCACCTCTTCTTTTTTTTTTAAACTCAGGGCCTCATGCTAGCTAGGCAGCCACTCTACCCCTTGGGCCACTCTGCCAGCCCATGCATGCCCTTCCTAAAGGGTAGTTTGGGAACTGACTGCAGTCCCGGTTGTTGATCCAATGTGTGCAAGGGAGAGTAAGGCTGGCCTCTCAGTGCAGTGACTTACTCCATGTAGCCTCATATTACCAAACTACATAATGGTTTATGAATTCAAGAGAATTCAGAATACTGATTATTCAGCTAATGAGCTAAAAGGTGACAAATATTTTGGAAACCAGACTTCACCTCAGAATAGTTAATCAAGGCAAAGTAAATTTGCTTGCCTGAGAGAATTAGAAATCTTTATCATCCGAGAGTATCATTAATCCTTCTGAGGCTCTCCTCCCCCCAAATACTTTCCCAGTGCTTGAGGAGAGCCTAAAACATTGCAGCATGAGCTGCCTTGCACAATCACCTAGCTGCATGCTACTGGCCAATTTCTCTGCAAAACAGAAAGAGCCACTGGCCTAAACCAAGAGCTGGTTTCCAAGAACAGCAATTCAGAAGTAGATGGGAAACCACTTCAGAATCCACTCTGGGTTCTCTGTTTTCCTATGCAGCAGTTATAATAAGTCCCTGTTCTGAGGCCTCGACTCTTTGGAGTGTTTAAGCATTATAATGGAAAAACACTATATAATCCTTATTGAAGTTGGACTGTGGTTTCAAATTTATTTTCCTAGTAATAATATTTTTCATAAATGTGAAGTTTCTGAAATGGTCAAACCCACAAAGACTAAATTGCTGTTTTCAGCCACATTAGTACTCCATTCCCATGCTGCAAAAATTAAATTAAATTAGCATTTTACATTTAAAGGGGAAAATCTTTAACTACCTGCTTTTAAAAGCAAAACCACCAATGAAAAAAATATATGCGCACTGAACACAAACCACATTAATCCATGGAAAACTGCATTCCAAGAGGCATTTGTGAATATTTTAAAGTCCTCAGCATTACGCCATTTTGTCTGCGGAGAGAACAGCACCCACATGTTTATAGTTTCCCTTTCTCAGATTTCCAAAGAAGCAAGAGCTAGCACTGCCTGCTTCATCATAAATCTGACTCCTTCAACTTTGACTATAGTCACCCTCACCTGCAATCTACACTGGCAATACTAAACACCTGTGAGTAACTCCACAGTCATTCACACGATGAGACAGAGCCTATCGCCCCCTTCTTTCCATTCTGTGACTACCTTCTTAGTTTGGATTTGTATCCTATGTCTGAACCACTGCATCACCTTCCAGCTGATCTCCCTCTCACCCCTAATCAGCCTACACATGGCTGCCATAACAAACTTCCCAAATCGCCATCTTGATTGTGGCATTCCTAAGTATTATGTTGCATGAGTCTCTAGCAAAATTTTCCATTGTCAGCACATTAAGGCCCCTCAATGTACTCAGCTCTTTCCTACCTCTTATGGCATGGTTGTGCCACTACTGCCCCTGACTCTACTTGAAATATCCTGCCCCATCTGCCTGTCCACCACCAGCACAGAGTCCCAGACAGGAAGCCCAGCATCAGTGTCCCACATGGACTGATTCTGCGATTCGCAATCACCCTGGATACCACGTCTTTCATGAAGCTCTCCAAGAACAGGAGTCAGAGGCATCCATCCTCCCAGCTTGGGACAGCTCTTTAATACATGGTTTCCTTTCTAATTATAGTCATCACACACTGCATTAGGAAGGTAGGGACTGCTCCCTCTTCACCTTAGAGCCTCATAGAATGTTTTAAATATGGCAAGTTCTCAATAAATGTCCTTCTGCTCCCATGTCACCAACAAGGGAAGAAACTGAAGCTGCTTCTCCAATGGGCCCCATTTTTGTTTCTTTCTCTTTCTTGGGAGAGGTACCTCCCTGCTAACTTCCCAGAAC